ACTTTTTCACAATTATTACCGGTTGGAGTAAATAAAACTTGAATTAAACTCACAAAATAGCAATAAATACTTTGAAAATGGACGCTATAAACACTTTTCGGAATTTCTTTAATGAGAGCGGTTTAGATTTTGAAGATTATTATGATTTTTGAAGATTCTGACTTTGACAAAAGAAAATTATTTCTGTTTTTGTTTTCCGTTGTTCTTAGCGACCGCTATAGCAGCGCCAGATTGCGTATAACGGTCGCGCCCCAAAATAATTTCGCGACCTAAAATTTTTACGGGCTTTCCAATCTAAACTTGTTGCATTTATCTATGTCTGTTATTCTATTCAGAGGGTCATTTTCAATCAAAAATAAAGTAGAAATATACCGAGGGTGCCATTTAAAAATCAAAAGTTGTAGTCATTTCCGGTGAAACAGGAAGTGACCAAAAATAATTGAATACGTCAATCAATCCTAATTTATGTCACATACTAATATACCAAATCTATTTTTTTTATGTGAAAAAATAAAAAAGTTATACGGGTGAGCCACTTTTGAGACGCACCCGGTATGATAGTTTGTTCAGATGGTGACATTAAATGACAATTGATGGCTAAAATTTTCGGATGAGTTTTCTAAATAAAATAAAAATGTCCACTTATTTTTCCTGTCATAAATATTTGGCTCTTATTAAAGTGAATCATTTTATTAATGGAAATAACAGTCTGGCACATCCCAAGTGGTGGAAAGTCAGTCTGGCTGAAAAGTTGAGGATGCAAAAAATTGGACAAATTTTTGAAATCCGTAACCCTTATTTTCCAATGCTTGCAAATTTGATACTATTATAAACTATAATCAAATAAAAAAATAGCAAATGGGTCTGGCGACATCTTGGAAATTGCAAATATTACAAAATTTCTGCTCTTATTTTCACTGACATGATAAATAATACTATAATTTCATAGAAAATACACGTCTGGCTGTCATTTACAATCACGAAAGTCCCGCCAGACTCACAAGTCAGGTCGTACATTTCGTATTTTTATTTATGTTTGACATTCTGCAATTTCATGATTTTCATTATAGCTAAATCGGGAAATATCTATTATTGTTAATTTCAAAAATCGCTGCAGATCTAAACACATTCATATGATGAGAAGTTTAGGACAAGGCACCTTGACGAGATTGCTATAACTCAACTAAGGGAGATACAAAATAAAGTCATGAGATTTTGTATAGAATTATTTTTTTTTACAAAAAATGTTTGATATTTATATTAATTCAACTTTCTAATGCCGGGTCCAGACCAAGCAGACAGAACAGTGACAAGACGGAAACATTCACGTTTTACGACAAAGTTGTGACAAATCCAATACATTTCTGCGACATATTTGTCTCATTTTTGTTTTGTTTTAAAATTCGGAGACTTTTCAATGTCCCGTCTCGAGTCGGTAAAGATCAAAGCGTGTATGTTTTGTTCGAATATTTTGCGACAAATTGTCGGCGCAGTGTGGATGGCGTGTGCTGCCAACAGTAGGAGACCAGTGAAATCACACATGGTTAATAAAACTCATTCGCAACAACTAAACTTTTGACTTTGTTGTACTTTTGTAATTGCGGTGTGGACAATTTGTCTCAAGTTTGTCTTTTCAGAAGTCTCCATTTCTTGTGACAAATTGTGTTTTTGTCTTAAAATCGTGTTTACTTTTTGTCGTTTTGGTCTGGACCCGGCATTATATCTCTGATAATTACAAAATTATTGCCGAATGAAGTTTTTCGATGATAGATGGATTGTATCCTTGATTTTTGAAATTCTGGAGTCAAAACTTTGAGAAAAGTGTTTTTGACCATAATCAAACTTTTAATATTTTTCAAGAATTGTAACGATAATACTTTTACGATTCAATTAAAATTTATCAAGTGAAAAAACATAACAAAGAAATTCTTATTTCACTGAACCATATTTTTATATATCTGTTTAAGTGAAAGGCTTTTGTGATAGTCTTCGAAAAATGCTACCTTTATGGAAGGTATATTTAACATCTCTGTTACTTAGATGGAAAGTAACAACGCCGATTAATATCGAAATCATCCAGTCGTAACTAAGACGAAAGAAACAGATGATGGAACCGGATGATTGATTTTATTTTCACTCGATTGTAATACTTGTAACATATTTTAAGAAAGAACTTATAATTATTAATATTTTAATTAATTAGGTGCAGATGTAGATTTCATTGTATTTATTTATACTAATGCGTTTAAGAAAATTTGCTCCAAAATTCATAAAATGAGGCGTCAAGTTGCAAAACCTGTCTTATCCCAAAAACGTTGTTTGGAGATAATTGCAAAAACTGTTTTAGCCAATGTTTGAAGGGTTATTTTACAGAAAACGTGTCCATTGAATGGAATCATCATCAATCTTATGATTAGTGCAATTTGTTGTGCTGTTAGGCTGTAGGCGTTTTTGTGATTTAAAACTTAAACAAATTAGGCAATAGCCTAATACTACAGGATCCGGCTACTTTTGTTCAAAACATAATTTTTACGTATATTTATGAATAGGAGTATACACTTTTCACATGGTGCCTATCACAAACTTGCCGCAACTAGGGGTTGCCACGTTTCAAAGTTTTCCCTACGAGCCCGGCAAGAGTGCGTCGGGTATATATAGCTCCTATGAAAAAAAACTTAGGAATTTTGTATAAACGCCAAACTAAAGTATACCGAGTGCGTCTCAAAAGTGGCTCACCCTTCTAACTTTTTTATTTTTTTCAGATAAAAAAACGAGATTTGGTATGTTAGTATATGACAAATTACGATTGATCGACGTATTCAATTGTTTTTAGTCCCTTCCTGTTTCACCGGAAATGACTACAACTTTTGATTTTTAAATGGCACCCTCGGTATTTTTTTTTACTTTGTTCGATAGGAAATGACATTCTGAATAGAATGACATATCATATGTCAACTTTTGACATTCTTGCTAAATAAAAAATTGTATTTTAAAATTCAATCTAAAGTACCTTGGCTATGTTCAAAACACTGATTCTTAATCAAGAAGCCTTGGAAAAATAGATTTGATCGTCTAATGTTTTTAGTGTCTTGTCCTGGCCGGTTAGAAAATGCTCAAATCGTAGTTTTAATTATATCTCAATTTTTTCAAATGGAACGAGGGTGGCTCATTACCATATTTGGAAAAAGCATTTTTTTACGAATAATTTGCTCCCACACACTTGATATTTCGAGTCAAATTTTCGTTATAATCCCCAAGGTATAATTTCAAATAAACCATATGCAAAAATGTCAAAATTGACATGTAATATGTCATTCTATTCAGAATGTCATTTTCTACCGAATAAAGTAAAAAAATACCGCGGGTGTCACTTAAAAATTAAAAGTTGTAGTCATTTCCGGTGAAACAGGAAGTGACTAAAAACAAGTGAATACGTCACACAATCCTAATTTATGCATATACTAACATATCAAATCTCGTTCTTTTAACTCAAAAAATAAAAAAGTTATAGGGACTTTTGAGACGCACCCGGTATACTAGGATGTATTTCAGGAAAATATTTTAACTTTTACAGTGTGGCTTAAAAAAGTGTGGGTGGATTGGGGATTTGGGATAACATTTTTTATATTTAAAGTATTTCAAAATTTTTAACGGTTTTCTACGATGTTCTCTATGGGTATCTCGGAAACTACTGGAGATAGTCAATTAAATGAGGACAGAATTGCATTTCAGATTTTTAAAAAAGTTCATGCTTACATCATCAAAAAACCAAATTTGGGCTATATTTAAAATGGTTCCTAATTCCATTATAATCTATTTTAGACAAAAAGTTTTCAGATAAAAGTTGATAATCACATCCTTAATGAAATCGTGTTCTCTGTTTTCTACTAAAGCCTGTAGTTTTGACATATGACACAAACATATGTTTTTTTTTAATGGAAGCCATATTTGGCCGTGACTTCATAAAAAGCGCACTTTTTTAAGTTTTTCAGCGATATAAGCTATAATATGTTTTTTTTTGCAAAAAATTACTGATTTATCGCCAATTCTCATCTTTCTTGACTAATTTCGTCAGACTAATTCAACGAACTTCGTTGGTATGGTAATCTTATTCTGTTATGATTTATAACTTATAAAACGACAGGATATATTAAATAAATGGTTCTTTACAGTTTACATTACTCAATTTACAGCAGTACTCCACGCTTTTCTTCATTTGAAAAATTCATATTTACAATTTTTGTTTATTTTAATTTACAAAGTTTGGATGTGACAGTTTGACATCTCTGAGAGCAACGACGATTGAACTTGTTTCCATGTCTAACTAAGTGAAATTGTTTAAAAATGATAAGAATTGACTATAACTCAGTAATTTTTCGAAAAATACATACTATACCTTATATCGCTGAAAAGCTTACAAAGGGCGCTTTTTATGAAGTCATGGTTTCCATGTAAAAAACATATTTTTGTGTCATATGTCAAAAATGACAGGCTTTAGAAAAAAAAAACGGAGAACACAATTTAATTAAGGATATTATTACATCATTATCTACAACTTTTTTCTGAAAACTTTTTGTCTAAAATAGGTTATAATGGAATTAGGGACAAATTTTAAAATAGCTGAAATTTGTTTTTTTCGAAATATCTAGTAAGCCATGAACTTTTTCAAAAATCTGAAAGGAGCATATTTATGACCCCACAAAACTGCATTTCTTTCCCCATTTAACCGACTCTCTCTCTCTCCAGTAGTTTTCGAGATGCCCATAGAGAACATCGCAGAAAACTCACCCTGTATATGGCTCTTTCAACGATAAAATACCAGACTGATATTGACACAAGATACAGATTTGAAATACTTTAAATATAAAAAAATGGTTCCTCGTATATAAAACTAGATACGAAACATTTTCGAGCTACTAAATTACTCTTATAATACTAATGATAATTCCACTGATAAATTAGTTTATGTTTTAAAATACATTGATTTTCCATTTTTTTAGTTTCTGCTTCCCGAAAAACTTGTTGGCTCCCTGGGTATTACAAATGTCAATGCTGATCTGAATGCCTGCCAAGGATTTCTGTTTGAAGCACTGTTGACGTTCCTTCTTGTCTTTGTCATTCATGGCGTTTGCGATGGACGAAGAAAAGACATCACAGGTTCGGTTCCATTGGCAATTGGTTTGACCATCACTGCTGTCCATTTATCTGGTGTAAGTATACCCCAAGATTTTTTTTTGTATTTATTTAAACAAAAATTGATGAAAATATTAGCCTATATTATTAAAATAATACGATTTTATTTCTATTGCAACAAAATAAAATTTATATTGAATGGGTTTTTTATTGTAAGAGCTAAATGTTTATTTACGCATTTGTTATGAATATCAATATTATTACATATTACTATTGAAGAATGTTTATATATTTTTTGAGATAACTTTTAATCTATAAGCATATTTCGAGATTTTTTCCTTTGTTTATAAACTTAAAGCTACGTAAAATACAAAATTTGAAGTTTGTCAGAAATAGAGTTTGCCAGAAGAATAGTCTTCTAGAAATACCTTAGAATTTTGATGATCTATCAGTGAGTCAATGTCGAAATTAAAGAAATTTGACAAGCGATAATTCGTAAACTGAGGTATAATTACTAGATATTTTGGTAATCTAGCTAGCTATAGTATGTCCTCATGTGTAGGGAAAATTAATATTCATGCTTTTTTTGAAAATTATTTCTTGGCAACCCAACCACAACGAAGTTACATTGTGGTCAAAAGTGCCGCTAATACCTTTGAGAAAGGATGGTACGGCTGCGCTCGACTTGGCTTTTTATGCAAATTTGTTTTACTAGTAAAAAATCAATGACAAATGGGTTTCTGTTTGGATCAATGCAGTGGTGTTTAAAAAAATAACTTTTATATTTTGTAGTTTTTCTTCTAGTCAGTCAAGAAGTCAAGAAGTCTTTCAAGAAATATTACTATTAGTCTTAAATTATTTTATTGCAATAATGTTATAATATTTATGCATCTTATTTTGTTGTGTATATTTTATATAAGTAGTATTAATATTGGAATTCTTTTGTCTTTTTTAGATCCAATTTACAGGTTCCAGTGTCAATCCAGCTCGAAGTTTAGGTCCAGCTGTTGTTATGAATCTCTGGGAAAATCACTGGGTATGTTTGTATATTTTAGAGAAAGCAATCAAATAAAAGCATAGAAATTGAGAGAACATCAACTATGATTAAAATAGTTGGCAACTCTGCTATTGCTCATTGGATTGGCAATAAATTTAAGAAACTCGAATATTTATGGAGTGTTATAACTAGTCTCAAAAGAACCCAATTATTTTCAATAGTCATTATTTACATTGAAAATTATGTCAGTTTAACAAATAACAGACAAAACTTTTAAATTTTCCAGAAGATAAAGAAAAGCCAAAAAATTTGACATCAATGTATTGACAGAATTTGCATCATAATTTTACCATCAGTACCTACCAATCGCTAATCCTAAAATCCTCTAACACCTCATCATCATCATCATCATATTCAGCTTATTCAACCATTTCCAATTTTATGGTGTAGCCTCCCTCACATATAATAATAATAATAATAACGTTTATTAAACATTTTCTCTTGAAATTAAAACAGATATAAAATAGTACAGTACAATACAACATAATATGCTACTATATCTAATACACATTATCTAAGTACAATTTAACTAAGACTATATTTAAATTTTAAGAATCAAAATAAACGTTAAAAGAATTACCACAAAGTAATAGAATTACTTGTATGTGGAAAGGAATACAATTTAATTATGACAATGTTCAATGTTCACTGGCACTTATGAAAATTTATTTTGTATATTTTAAGTTAACTAGGTCATTAAATATATCTCTACCTCGATCAACCATCCATTTGCATACCCATAATTTTAAAACCAGAGTAACTTTTAACATCCTTTAGGAAGGTTGGTAAGATGTTATATAATCGAGGTGCAAAAAACTTTGAAGATCTTTGTCCAACAGTTTTAGAGCATAAACTAGGATAAAACGCCTTATGTCTAGTTTCATATTCATGGTCAACATGTTCAATAGATATTTTCCCCTGATAAATGAATTTTAAAACATCTAGGCAGTATAGCTGACGTATATCCAGTAGATGCGCCTGCTTAAAGAGAACGTTTGAAGAGAAAGTTTTCTTTTTATTGTAAATAATTTTTATGAACCATTTTTGAACAGAATACAAGCTCTTTAAATGACATTCAGCCGCACCACCCCACCCTAGAATTCCATATGTCAAATGAGATTGTACAAGGGATGAGTACAGGATTCTAAGCTGTTTGACGTCCAAAAAACTTTTCAAATAATTAAATTTCGGCAACAATCCTCGCAATTTTTTAGTTACATTATTAATATGAATATTCCATTTAAGATGTTTGTCGATTGTAACCCCTAAATATTTTATAAAATCACATTCCGGTATTACATTATTATTGGTTATTTGTAATCTGTCCCAATCTGGTTCATTATTTTTATAAATAGAGAAGGATATATATTTGGTTTTGTCATAGTTTAATGTTAATTTGTTTTTGATAAACCAGGTATTAATTGTCTGAAAGTCTTCCTCTGCTAATCTTTTCAAATTCGACCAAGAGTTAGATTTATAAAATATCGCTGTATCGTCTGCGTAGCTAAAAATTTCTGCTTTTGTATTAATTGTAAGTAGATCATTAATATAAATAACAAATAATAACGGACCCAACACAGTGCCTTGTGGTACACCATGCTCAATCCTTCCTGGCTTGCTCTTAATATCTCCCAAATTAACATATTGTGATCTGTTCTTAAGATGATCTGTTTCCTCGTATTCCATATCTCTCTAATTTGTCTAAAAGTATTTTGTGATTTACCGTATCAAATGCTTTAGCGAGATCTACGAATATACAGAGGCTTCGATGTCCCGAGTCTAGAGCATCATAGATTGATGATGTCAATGCATGAACGGCATCCTGTGTTGATATGCCTTCTAAAAAACCAAATTGATTTTTTGATATTATGTTAAATTTTAGAAAGAATTTTAACAAACGTTTTTTATAACTGTTTCAAAATTTTTAGAAAAAACTGATAATATAGATATCGGTCTATAATTGCCTATATGCTCCTTATCACCCCCTTTATATAATGGTTTAATTACACCTACTTTAAGACAGTCCGGAAAACAACAACTTTCGATACAATAATTTATCAAAAACGTTAAAGGTTTTGATATATCTCCCGAAATTATTTTAATAATATCCTAGCTAATATTGTCATAACCAGGAGCTTTTTTATTTTTTAGATTTTTTATTATGTTTATTATTTCGTCTTCGCTTTCGTCTTTCGTCTATGCGCATATCTAGATACTCTCTTTGTAGTTGGGCCCATTGTTGTCTATTGTTGGCGGGCCCAAGTTATTCCTGTTAATTTCCTAATATGGTCCCATCTCAAGTTTGGTCTTCCTCTAGGTCTCTTGATTCTTCGTGGGTACCATGTAATTTTTGTGGTCTGTTGTCTGTCCTTCTTGCCAGCTATCCTGCCCATTGCCACATTGAGGGATTTGATCCTGTGGATGACATCTATTACATGGGTCTTTTGTCGTATCCACTCTGTTATTCTACGGTTTCTGTTGGTTATTCCCAGCATATTTCGTTTCATTGAGCATTGTGCGACCTGCAGTTTCCTTATAATGTCCGTTTGAAGGATCCAGGTTTTGCATGCATATATCATGACTGGTAGTACATTAGTCGAATGTTCTCTTTTTTATATAAAGTGGCATTCTAGATTTGAATATGATTGAGTCTCTTCAATAAGTACTCTATGCTAACTTAATTATTCCGTTAATTTCTGGTAGTAGAGATCCCGAGCTGTGCATTAGTTGCCTCAAATAGTATAACATAATAATTCTCATACTATTTCCAGTCAGGGCCGGCGGATGGGAAATATTTAGACCGGGCGAATACCCTACGTGGCGCCCTCCTCCCCCCGCCCCCCACCTAATAGTTATCATAACAACTAAGCATATTTATGCTAATTTAACAATGAAGTTTCACTTAAAGGTACTTTAAAATTCTTCTCTTCGTTCAATCTTAGTCCGCGGTTGTTGTTTTTTCTATACCGGGTGCATCTTGAAAGTGACGACTCACCCCTATAAATTTTTTATTTTTTTAGATTTTTTGATATGTTAGTATATGACATAAATTAGGATTGATTGACGTATTCAATTGTTTTTGGCCACTTTCTGTTCTAGTTTATTCGATAGAAAATAACACTCTGAGTAGAATGATATATCATATGTCAACTTTTGACATTTTTGCTGAAAAAAAATCCTATTTTAAATTTCAATCTAAAGTGCCATGGCTGTGTTAAATACACTAATTTTTAAACAAAGAGCCTTGGAAAAATAGATTTGCCGGTTAAAAAATGCCCAAATCGTATTTTTAATCATATGTCATTTTTTTCAAATGAAACAAGGGTGGCTCATTTGCATATTTGGAAAAAGCATTCTTTACGAATAATTTTGTACCACACACTTGATATTTCGAGTCAAACTGTCGTTATGAATTTTATGTTACAATTTCAAATATAAATGCGAAAATATCAAAAGTTAACATGTGATGTGTCATTCTATTCAGTGTCATTTTCTATCGCATAAAGTAGAAATATACCGAGGTTGCAATTTAAAAACTAAAAATTTTAGTAATTTTCGATAAAACAGGAAGTGACCAAAAACAATTGAATATGTCAATTAATCCTAATTTATGTCGTATACTAACTTACCAAATCTCGTTTTTTCTTCTGAAAAAATAAACAAGTTATATGAGTGAGCCAGTTTTGAGACACACCCGGTATATAAATGATAAATATAAGTGATCTTGGAAAACATTATTATTTAGTTGCAAGCAATTGCATTATTTTTCTATAAGAATTTAAGAAATTTCTTTTCTTTTTCACTATCAATTATTTCGTGCAGAATCAGTATATGATCAGATACAGTTTTGTCGGCTTCAAAATGAGGATCAGCCAGTGCTTGAGGTGCATTCTTGTTCATTTGTCTTGCTCTAATGAGAAATTTCTACGATTCTGCTACCATTTACCGTGTCAATACATATCCAATCCAGAACAATCAAAATCACCAAAAGATTGATATTTTTCCCACTACTGGTAATAAATATAAATTAATGAGGCAAACTTTTTTTTATAATAAGGATTTCGAGATCCTATTTAGCTTCTTGCGAATGAATATTTGTCCCATATAATTTTAGGGCAGATCAGCTATTAATAACAAATAAAGAGTGTGGGTAGTAGACAAAGTGCAATTTTGAGCGGTCAGTCTAAAACTGTCAATTTTGCTGGCTCTTGACCCAAAACAGTTTGTTTAGAGAAAATTTATAAAAGTTAGAATTATAGAAAGAAGGGTTATTTATAAAAAGTTGATAGCTTTTCAGTTATAAGTAAAATACCACGAACAATTTTTTTAAATATTTTAGGTGCTGGCGTGGCGCCCCTTGCTTTGGCGCCCCGGGCGGTCGCCCGGGTCGCCCGGCCTTTCCGCCGGCCCTGTTTCCAGTGTTGTGTTATTTACTAGAATATATTTTCAGTCTTCCAGTTCGTTGTACATTACTTTAGTTTTTGCTAAATACATTTTGAGACCTATTTTATTGCTGGCGGTATTTAGTTCGTTAATTTGTGTGCTTGTAGTTCTTCTGGACAATTGGCAATTATAAAGTAATCAACGAATCTTAGATTGTAAAGATATTCTCCGTCTATACTGAATCCTTTGTTGGTCCAGTCGAGTTAACGGAAGATTTCTTCTAGTGTTGCTGTGTAAACAGCTTTCAGGATATTGCGTCTCCTTTCATACTTCTTTGCCAATTGGAAACTCTGGGGTTGTTTAATATATAATTACTCTTGCTTTAGCTTCCTGGTATATGTATATTGGCGAGAGTTTCTATATAAGGCTTGTCAATACCTTGTTTCGCTAGGGCTTCTATTACTGCCTTAGGATATATCGAGTCGAAAGTCTTCAAAAAGTCTATAAAGGCTATGGCTGCTGGAAGTTTGTATTCTTTTGTTCGGCAGTTTCTCTTAGTGTCTGTATGTGATCAATCGTGCTGAAGCCGCTTCTAAAGCCTGATTCTTCTAGCGTCTTTTTTATTCTGTTATTTATTATTTTTGTGAATATTTTTATGTTACTAGTAGTATGCTTATTGGTCTATAATTTCCGATGTCTTCTTTGCTGCCTTTCTTACGAATTAGAATTATGTTGGCGCTATTTGTTTATATGTTTGCGCTATCTCTAACACAGTATTTCCAACTATTTCAATCATTATTGATCGTTCCATATAAATAACATTATTTTCAATTAGAATAAAAGATTCAAATTTCGAATATTGTTTGAATTCAAAATTTTAATTGTATAATGTTGACCAATTAAATGCACAGAATTAAAAAAAATCAGTAATTTTAATACATCTTGTGTGTTTTCAGGTATACTGGGCTGGACCAATCCTTGGAGGTGTACTTGCAGGACTCATCTACAGGTTTATTTTCAAAGTTCAAAAAGGAGAAAGCGACTCATACGACTTTTAGCGATTTTTAAGATAATTTTCTTACATTATTAGTAAGCTCTATAAGCAGAAGCTTGACAATATCATTATTTTTATTGATTTTTTATATAGTTGTTTGTTTTTTATAACTATAATTACGAGAAAAAATCCCACGCTCTATGATTTTCTGATATTTATATGTCTTAAGTATACAAATATTTTCTAAAAGAAATTAATGTCGATTGATTTAATTAACATTTGAGCATTATTTATTGTAATTATCGACGCGTGATGTTTCACTCCGTTTTTATTTTCTTTATTAGCTATAAGTGCTTTATTTTTAAGTGTTTATAGTTTTAATATTAGGTACTTATAAATGTATAAGTTAAGCATAATGAGTTTAAAAACTTAACATTGATGAAATTATAAAATTTTGTACTTAATTATGACAGAAATTAATGAAGATCCGAAGAAGCGAAAAATGATGTCTTGGATTTAGAATCTTTAAATTATTGTACGAGTATTGTATAAAGTATGTGTAAATATTATCAGTATTAGTAAATATAATATTTTTTGAACATGTGTATTATTTTACGTTAAAGATGTATCGTATAAGACATAATGATAAACATAATTAAGTAGGATTATTAGTGCTTGATCCTCATATTAACTTGTTTAACTCTCATATTAACAATACGATCAAAAGACTTCGTCAATGGCTGCTGGGGAATGACAATGGAAGATAATTTTGGCGAGGTCAAGCTCTAGTCGTCACTTACTTGGCGCATACTCTTCTTTATTTTTTAATGCCTTTACTACCAGTTGTACATACAGGGTGAAACAAAATTAATATTGAACAGTGGTCACCGTTAAAATTACTATTTTATTTTAAATGGAACACCCAGTATATTATTCCGATATTCAATGGGAAATTCTTGCCTCTTCAAATTACTATTAAAGTTGCCTATCCCTAAAACAATGATCTTTATGATTTGATAAAATCTAGGTGGCTGCTGATATGTCTGACGTTACTTCATTATAGCTATCTAATTAGTTCAACTTTAACAACTAGTTATCATTTTGTGTCGGTTAAAACAAAAAAAATTCTCAGAAATTTGCCGATAATGGAAATTTATCCTACATCGGAGAGAATTGATATGATTCTATCAGTTGGTGAATGTAGTGTGCATTCACCAATTAATTGGTGAATGCACACTACTATCAGAAGAATTTAAGTATTCTAGTAAGAATACTTAAATTCTCCTGATTTTATCTAGTTTGGAATTTTTATGGGGATATGTTAAAGACAGTGTTTACAAAACACGACCAACTATTGTCATGACAGTCAACATGAGAGAAATGATTGTTTAATTCTGTAAAAATTAAAATGTTATAATTATTACTACATTATTCTGTAATAATTAAAATATCTTTTTATTACCGATAAGTATTTTACTCTACATCGTTTAATTTTTGATAAATGAACAAAAGTCATATCACAGTCACCCTACATTTTATCAAATAATAAAGATCTAATGACGCAAAATCATAAAAATAAAAATATATAGGAAAATCTTTGTTTGAAGGGTAGGCAACTTTAATAGTATTTTGAAGATATCGTCCCATTGCTGCCAAAAGTCACTAACTTACTTTTTATTACTTCCGAGAAAAATGCGTCTAAAGATGAATTGCATTGCATAAAGATGTTATAGTTAGTAACTATTTGGTATTAAAATAAAATATAAATAGCCAGAAATCGTAGTTAATGACTTTTGCTATCGATTCTCCGCTTCAAAACATAGTTAGTGATTGAATTTGGTTGTTCGGAAAAATGTTAGTTAGTGACTTTTGGCAGCAATAGGACGATATATAAATTCTCCATTGCATGTCGGAATTCGGAATAATATACCGGGTGTTCCATTTAAAATAAAGGAGTACTTAACTTGCTTTTAAAAGTGACCGATGTTCCATATTAATTTTTTCTGACACTGTATAACTTTTCGGATCAAATTTTAATTTGGTTGAACATACAATGGTCATTGTAATTAAATATCAGGCTATACAGGGTAAACTAAAATTTAAGTAGCTGTTATTGAAATTTAAAATTTACTCGTTATTTTTACAAAATGTAAAATATTAATTTTAATAAAACTCACCTGTATTTTTCCCTAGAATCAAAATCAATTAATATATAAGGTGTTCCATTACAAAAAACAAAACTTTGATGTGTACCTTTTTTTGAGGACACCCTGTATAACTCTATACCTATATTTTTATAAAATGCTTTCAATTAACCTACATATACGTACACTATTTAATTTCAATACAAACTGTCGTTCTCCTTAGAACTCCCGCGTCGTATGAGAGGCGCCACCCTGTACATTCTGTCAAATTAAATAGACACTGCCAAATAACTTGCCGAGATACTTTAAACAAGGGATTGGAAAATGCATTGAACCCAAAGTGATATCTAAAATATTTAAATATGAAAACAAATAATGGGATCTGCAAATTAAAATAATAATTAAACAACCCAAAATTTATAATATTATTATTTATTCACAATTTCTTTAAAAAATTGCTTTAAAAGCGATATCAGTATTATTAACACTAATGCAAAATTTCCTAAATAATTAAATACAATAAATATTAAATAACTTAATTTGTTTAAAATCACGGGAAATGTATAAATTCGCCAGCGAAAGGTAAATTTTTCAGGATCATCCTACCGCGACTGCGCCATACTTCCAAATTCAAACAGCCAGTTACAAGGGGCGACATCTTTCTAATTTCAGGTATAAACGGCGTTGGTGTATATAACTACATTTCATTAGGAAGGAGGGTTACATGTTTTGAAAATATGGCACAGCCTTATCACTTAATTTTACCTAAGTTATAAAATAGTCGCTAAACTTGACTATTTATAGTAACAATATTAATAATAATACTTGAATAGAGAAGGGCTGGGTTTGGATTAGGTAGCTGACCCTTTCTAATTTAACCTCGGACAAAAAACTTCTTCTTTAAAGTGTATTTTGGACATTATACATATTATGTTATTTTAATATAAAAAATTGGACAAATTTAAAAGAAATATGAGCGGAAAAGGTTCAAATAGCTGTCACCAAAAACGAATAATAATATAATTTTAAGTAAAACTGGTCAGTTTTTAAACATTTTCCGCTGGTTACTAGGAAAGACTTATTTCTTTTCTCAGTTTAACCGTTAAGAAAGAAATAGTAGTACTTTCATACCAAACATTCACACTTTTAGCGTACAGTTCTTTTTACATCTTAAGCTAATAGCTTTAAAAAATTATTAAACGCAAACTATTGTAAAAAAAATTATTAGAGTGTTTCTGGATTAAGTACTGCACTATTCTAAAATTTATTATTTAAAATTTTCGAAGACTCTCCATTCATGTTGTTTCTTGATAAATTTGAGGTATGATCTAGACTCACCGGTACGAAAAACCTTAAAATTTTCATGTATTTTAAAGTTTTATATTTGTGTTCTAGTGGACCGATTTTGATGATTTTTTAAGTAATTTGTAGCTAAGTTATTTGACATTTTAATCTCTTACTAAATTGAAAATGAAAGTTTCCATCTGTCAATTGTACGAGAGAAAAAAAATGTTGATACTTTGAGAAAGTTTGAAACACCCTGTGTAATATGTTAAGAAAACAAGGAAATTAAAAATCATTTTATCGTTTAGGTACATCTTTTCTCGATAGTTAATTTTTTGATTCATCTCAATAGCTGTATTTCTTTTGGAGATATTCGCTTTTGAAAACGACACTGATATTTTTTTCGTATTTTTTACATTAAAATCATGCCTTTGCTTTTGGTCCAAGTCAACACACCAATAAAATAGTGCTTATGATTTATGTAATGTCACTGTCTTTGAAAAATCATATTATTATGGTCTGTTGTGCAGTTACTCTAGCAGATATGGTTGTAAGCTCAAAAGTTGATTTCTACCATGATCGCTTAAAGCAACAATAGTCGATACCTACTAGAATAAAGGCCAATAAACACTAATAGTATGACTTTTCAATGACTGTAACATTACAAAAACAGTAAACACTATTTTATAAGTGTGTTGATAAGGACCCAAAATCAATGCTAAAATTGCTGTAGATCGTTATTGCCTTATTTAAAAGTGAATATCTCCAATGAAAATGTAGATATTCAGATGAATCAAAAAATAAACTATGGAGGAAAGACGTACCTAGATGAAAAAATGATTTTTAAATTCCTTGCTTTATTATCATATTCCACAGGGTGTTTAAAACTTTCACCAAATTATCAACATTTTGTTTTCCATTGTATAATTGACAGAAGAAAACTTAATTTTTAATTTGGTAAGGGACACTAAAAAGCCAAATAATCTAGCCATAAATTGCTTAAAAATCATCAAAATCGGCCAACTAGAACAAAATTTTGTATTAAACTTTAAAATACATACATTTTAACGTGACCCTTTTCGTGCCGGTGAGTGTAAAAGTAGGCATTTTCTGAGTTTCTTAATTCTCAGTTTTTATAGATATTCATATAAAAAAATGTTAAACGCAAATTGATTTATTTGATATATTTGAAAATTATTGAATATCAAACTATAATTTTTAGGTGATTTCGTTGTCATGTTTTGGTTCAAATTAAGCAGCAGGACTCAAAGAGTTTTATGAGAAAGCGTGCTTTGTGTACGATGACAGAGAAAAAGAATTCTAATTAGTAGTTACATAAGAATTTTTTAACTGTCTAAGTCAAAGCCTGCTTGGGTTATAAGACTTTTTGATCGCCCTGTAAATGTGGGTTAGAAAGTTATATTTTTGTCATTGATTAATTATACTAGATTATCTCTATTTTTTAGGTAATATTATATTTTATGGGTTCATTATCAAAACTTAAAACTCAAGGCAATTTAATCGTAATGTCAACATTTAAATATGCATTTAACAGAAATTTTTGAGAAAATATGGCAAATAATCTCTTCTAATCTGCATAATATATTTAATTTCAAAGCATGCACCTTTTAAGTAAAGGTAAAATATAAATCAAATATTCTTTATGAAAAAATATAGGAAATAATAAACTTTAAAATAGTTAATCTAATCCAGAAGAACACTATTTAAAAAAAGAATACATTCGAAAATAATAATTTAATAAGTTTTTAAATATTAGGTACATAAATATAACATTTCGATTTAAAACATCAAATTAAGAATACATTTAAAACAGAAAAATAGTAGAATTTTACAGAATCATATGGTATTTTGTAACAGTGCGTTTATAATTTCTCTAAAAAATAATAAGGATATTAAAAATATGTTGAAAATTTATAATAAATTAATCTATATATTTTAAGTTTATTAAGAGGAAAGTTCGTTTCTCTAAACATAAACTCGCAGAAGATTTTAAGGAAAGATATATAATATAATAATATTTTTGTTGTTAGAAACACCTAAATTAGTTATAATTATTGAATATTTTTTGACCCAAATCCTATAAAAAACTACTATATGATCGAAAAAAAAACGTCGCCAACAATGGCTATGAAATGAAGATCGCTGTCATT